TTTTTGCGGAACTGGGGATTGAACTCAGATCCTTGCTTTTGCCAGTCAAGCGCTTATCTTACTGAGCCATCTCCCTGGCCCCTATAAATGCTTATTTCTAGTTTTTTAAAATTACTTTTCCTTCACATTCTGTAAGGACTTAAAGTTCAACATATCAATACTTGATGGAAAATACCTGTTGCATAATATGCCTAAGATGTTTGATATTTAGACAGAGGATAAACCGAACTGCATATGCTGCAGATTAATAATAAGCTCTCTTCTGGAGGGTTAACAACCTAAGTTAGCAGATCAAAAATTGGATAAAAGGAGGGCTGCAAGGACAGCCAACATTTTGGCCCTAGCCTTTCAAGGTCGGTGAAGACTCAGGACATAGGAGAAACTATACTGTAACAACATGTAACTCAGTTGTGCTCCACATTTTCTGACCAAGGTTATGGAGCCACAGAGGAATGTGAATGATGATGTAGAGTGTGCCTAAGGAGAGTCACATGGAGAGAAAACATTCTCTCAGGCTTTCACAGAGAGCACATTGGTCAAGCAATGGCCGTGACTCATCCTCATGGCTGACACTGACAAACGATCTACAAAGTGCGGTACAGGGCTACAGGATAAATCCTGAGGGGACTTGACTGACCTTATCAGATACAAAAGTTACATGTCTTGTTGCATAGGTCTTGCTTTATCTTGGTCTTAACCATCCAGCAGAAAAGTATAAAAATGAGGTATATAAAGTTATGCCATATTAATATGATGAGCTGTAAAAGCTCAAGTCATTAACTTCTGAGGATAACCCACTAGTATTATAGACTGCTAGACAGTGTTGGATTGTTTAGCTGAATTCAAGCACCTATAGTATTTAGATGCCAATAGAATACCCACCTCTGACAAAACTAAACAAAAAAAAGGGGATACAAAGGAAAGACCATTTTGTATTTGCATATACAAAACAGGATAGATATACAGCTTCTTTTGCTTAATTCAATGAGAAGAAAGACGTGTACTGAGTGTTTGGGCAAGAAATCCTGTCTGCTTCTTTTTTTTAATTTTTACTTTTCTGTCTGCTTCTTGTACTGTGGATAACCATTAAGAAGATAACAATGTACAATGTATTTGATTATCTAAACTGTCCTATTAATCAGCTTTGAAACTGTCTCATTCATATTTGTTTCTCAAAAAAATAAAATTAAAAAAAAAGATGGGTGGTAGGTAATGAGGTCCTGTCTAAGCAGTGTCCAATCAAACTTCTGGACAATGGGAAACACAGACGTGAACAGCGACCTGGGGCATGAAGACCACATTCCCCACCAGCATGCCTGACGGCAAGGTCTCCTCTGCTGCTCCTGGGGTGACATGGAAGCCACGCTCCTTTCCTTCACGCTGCCCACAGTCACAGTGGTGGTGCAGACCTGGGGGAACTCACAGTACTAAACAGCTGGGCACCATCTCCTTCTCAAGGCGAGAGTCCCAGTGCATCAGGACAGGAACACGAAGGAGCCGCAAATGGCCAGTTCTGTAGTTCTGGTCAGTTTCTGTATTTTCAGAAGCAGACAACCTCTTGAAGTGACAAAACTATGCAAGGTTACCTGTTAATGAGGCCTTTGACCTGCTTCTTCAGCCTTTCCAGTTCTGCCTTCTTGTGGACATCCGCAGTTTCCAGGGCTGGCCTCCCTTGAGGTGGGATGCACTTTTCACTGAGATCACCAAGACACTCCTTGAAAAGAGAACAAACAGCAAGTAATCGACACTGGCCGGATCCCATTGTTTCCCGTGCTTTATGCACATTTAAGTAGTAAAATCCAAGAACAGCAGCTGCTCTTCCTCACCCCAGCTGTATAACCACGAGGCCCACTGGGAGCTCAGCAGGCTGAAGCCCTCCTCTGGCCCCACCGCTAACACCTGCTGCGCTCTGCTCCCCACTGCACCTGAGCAGTGGTGTCCCCATTCTCCAAACTCCCATGGTTCAAATCTTCATTTTCTGCAAAGCGGACTCTCTTCCTCCCCCTCTTCTCCCGCGTTCCGCCTCCCACTTCTTCCCAGCTTTCTGGGTCCACAGCCTCGTCGGCGGCGTTCTCCACATTTTCGTCCTCGTCCCCCTCGCTCTCGCAGCCGCCATCGAGGTCGCCCTCGCTCTCGGGGAGCGTTTCGTCCTCGTCGTCGTCCTCCCCGTCCTGCTCCTCCTCCCCGCTGCTCTCGTACAGGCCGCTGCCGCCCGCCCCGGGCTCCAGGGCCCCCAAGATGTAGTCCAGCCCGTCGCGCGTGAAGCTCAGCGGCACGGAGCTGCCGTCGCCCTTCTTCTTGCGCTTGTTCAGGCCGAGGCAGCGCTCCAGCTTCCGGATCTCGCGGTCCTCCTCCTCGTTGGCCGCCAGCAGGGCCCGCTTCCGGGCGGCGGCGGCGGCGGCCGAGGGGCTGGGCCTCCCCGGGCGAGCCTGGGGCTCGAGGGGCCCCTTAGTCCGCGAAGCC